ATTCTCCCCGGGAAGGGTTCTGGCTGTTCTGTTTCCTCCTCTGCTTCCCTTTCTGGAGATGTGGCGGGTCCTGGATGCAGCTCTGCTGGAATCTTCCTATGCAGGCTCTGCCTCGTTCTTGTAGTATCTCGGCCTCCCAGCCTGGCCCTGAGGCCTGGCCTCCCCCTGCATGGTACCTCCTAATGCCCCTTCCTCACCCCTCATCTGCTCCCACTGGATTTGAGGGTCCCATCCTTGGTGGGGCACCCACATGCACAGTTTTTGCTCTGTTCTCCAACTGACAACAGTTCTACTAGCAGTGACCCTTGGATACCAAGGCCACCAGATTGGACCTTCCCTAATGACTGCCCCTCTGGCTCTGCTCCATGGGTCATAAGGTGTGGCTATGCTGTTTCTGGAACCTGAGACCTCAGGGCCAGCAATCAGAGCCCGAAGGCCCTCTCTCCAGGCCTTTCTCAGCCCCCTGACCCCCCAAAGAAGCCTCTGGCCTAGTGACTTCCCAGCCAGCTGCACTAGCCTAAAGGCAGCTCTGCGGCCAAGATGCAGACCTGCCCTGGACCTGCACCAGGGTGCAGTAAGCTGTGAAGGTCACTGCCTGGAACTTGTCACAGGCAACGTGAAGTGTTTAGCAATTTCCAGCCTGGTCTCTGGAACTCAGAATGTGATGGGGCTGGAAGTGGTATCCAGGCCCATTCAGGAATTTCCCCAGGGGCTGCACAGTTTCTGTGGGCTTGGGTCTTGTCTGGGAGAATGAATGACTTTGGGGCTGACCTCAGGCAAGACAGAAATTTTCCCAGTGAGCCACTGCGGAGAGGGAAGACCCACTGCGAGCCTTTGAGGACTCCCCTCTTGACAGCTGGTGTGCGCTGTGCTGTCCACATCGCGTTACTCTGCTTGGGCTCCTGCAACAAAGTGCCACAGACTGGGGCTTAAACAGCAGAAACTTGTCACCTCAGAGTCTGGAGATGAGACGTCTCAGAGACGCCTTGATTAATCCTGAGGCCTCTCATGTTTTCTTGTGGATGGCTGTCTTTTCCCTATGTCCCCACATGGCCGTCCCTCTCTGTGTGTGTCCACGCTTCCTCTTCTAATAAGAACACCGGTCAGATTGGATTAGGGCCCACCCATGTGACCTGATTTGCCTTGACCACCTCTTCAAAGACTCCATTCCTAAATATGGTCACATTCTGAGGACCTGGGTTATGGCTTCAACACATGAATTTTGGTGGACAAAAATTCAGCCCATAACAAGAACTTACTTCCGGGGGTCCTTCTAAATAAGATGATGCATGTAACTGCTGTGTTCTCAGGAATAGCCAGTGCATTGACAGGGAGGTGTCAGAGGCTGGAGTGTCCCTTCTGTCCAGTGCCCCAGTTGAGTCCCCAAAACTTGGGGGCTGCCATACAACACCCTTCTCTGGTGGCTCTCTGAGGAAGAATTGCACTTACTGTGCAGTCCAGTTTGTGAGGCCACAGGCTTTGTCCAGGGAAAAAATGGAGAAGTAGCCAAGCCAGGGACTCTTAGTCAATAGACCAATAATAACTGTGGCCAATGCCAGAGATGCGTCTAGACGAGTTCCTTAGGGGTGGGAACAAGTCCATCTGATGCCTCTGTCGCTGGTTCCCAAGCCCCTACAGGCAAGGGTCATTCTCTGTTGAGCATCTAGTGAGAAATTCAGCTCCCAAATGGGGTCCTAATGTGCACCTGGATTTTCTGGTCTCTTCTCAGAGTGGAGAGACCACCCTTATTATAGGATCATCCCTGTCCCCGCAGCTGACAGAGAGATGGGAGCGGGTGCAATGTGGGTGCAAGGCCCAACACACGCCCCTAGGCCCTGTCCAGCCAAAGGTACTCTTCCTGGTGCACAGGGCAGGTGGTAGGTCTCCCTCTCCCCTCCTCCCTGTGCTTGGAGCACTTCCACAAAGGCAAGGACATGTCTTGGTATGTGAGTTCCTGAAGGCCAATGGCTGGGCACTAGGATAAGCATCCACTGTTGGAGAAGGCCAATGACCTTCCTTCAAATGACCTCGGGAAAGGTGCTTCCTGGGAGGCCTTTGGAAGTATGAGCTGACCGAGGGACAGACAGAGGAAGGATGGGGAGTGGGGGCAGCACAGCGTGGCAGGAAGCACACGCTGTCCTAGATCAGATGGTTGATGGTGCTCAAGTGGTTCTCAGGGTGACTCTGGGCAAGCCACCCGCTGCTGCACCTCTGCGTCCTGGGGCAGAGCAGGTTGAAGCAGATGGTCTGGGAAGCTCTCCCATGGCCATTTATAACTGGCTGAAGCCAAGAAGAGATGACGCAGAAGATGAAAGAACCAGCCAGGCCATCAGCTTGTCAGCAGACGCCCTGGCCGAGTGCTTATCATCAGTCTTCCATGGGACCGTTCCCAAGCCCTCCTGTTAGTCTAGCAATGATGTCTTCCAACACTGGGGAGCATTTGTGCTGTACCCTAGAGACAAATTCCAGAAGCCCCAACTGAGAGCCTCAGCAGTGCCTAGTCGGCTGTGACGAAAGAGGTTTCAGCCACACGGCCTGGAGTGTGAGGTGGGAGCAGGACCCCAGTCTTCCAAACTGCAGCGACAGATCTAGAAGGGGCATAGGCAACCTGGAAGATGGAAAATGAAGAATTGTATTTGGACTTGCAACTTCTGACTGATGAACGTCTGAATTCCTGTTAACTCATACGTGGTATGGACGAGGCTCAGGTCACAACCCAGAGGATGAGGAAGTCAGGACAGTGAAGGCTGAGGGTGGTCTCCCCTCTGCACCCCGTGTCTGCCCAAATGCATGCTTAGAATTCAACCAGGGTAGGCCACTCTTCAGCAAGAGCTGAGCTGCTTTTTCTTGCTTTGTGAGAAGATAGTAGGGAGTATCTTCTGAGTGGAAGATAGTAGGGAAAGAGAGCTTGCTTTGTTAGAAGCAACCCCAAACTGAGGCTTCTTCCCCCTCAGCTTCCACAAAGCTTCCCTTCTGATGACTAGGGTTGGCAGTGCCCACTGGCTGCCTCAACATTAAGAAATGAGGTCAGCTGGAGAGCGGTGACGTCACCAGGATGTTAAAAGAAATTTTCTGAGGGTGTGCCAGTGTTGGGAATAAACTTGCAAGATATGATGGCACATTTCCTGCTTTCCAGAAACCTGCAACCTAAATCATGTTACTCCCAAGAGGACCCATTCCCCTCCCTGCTCCAGTGCAGCAGACAACATGAAGATAGCTGAGCTCTCAAAGCTCAGCTAACTACATGCATGACTTCTGCCAAGGCGAGCGAGATGCAGTGTGTGTACCATGACCGTGGCAGGACACATCAGTGTCAAGTTCACAACTTTCCAGAGAATCGAGAGGAAAATTGCCATCAATAGCTCATTAGACGTTTTCTGCATTGTTTTCTATAGAGAAATTGGGATCGTGTTGCCCGTTTGTTTTTTTATTTTAAATCTTGGTTGTTATTGCAAACCATGCGGGTGTTTTTCTATGTCCATGCTGACCATGTATTATTACTTATTGTTCTAAAAGCTGGGACTCTGAGTGTCCACCTGAGATGACTGGGGGTGTGGCAGGTGAGGCAGAGAAAATGATGGGAGAGTGTCGTGTGGCAGGGGATTTTGCATCTTCACTGGGATTTGGACAGGTGTGGGGAGGTAGGCCGGGCCCAAGAACCTAGAGGTTGGGGCAGGGGAGTATTTAGTCTCTTGATGAATGAGAGTTCTGGATCTGATTTTGGAACTTAAGGGAGAAAACAACTGGATAACTTTGATTTCGCCTGGAAGAATGTCGTAGGGGAATTGAACTCTGTGGAAAGGCAGGGCAGTAGGTGAGGGGAGTGTTGCCAGAGGGATGGTGTTCAGACCTCTAGTTGCATTTCATTGCACTCTGTTCTGAAATTTTAGGGGAAAGGACCAACAGAAGAGGCTCTACATAGATAGGGTTGAGGAACTTCAACTTGTGAGGAGTCAAGGGCAGATACTGGGGGAACCGTGGTTGGGAGGTGATTGTACAATGGCCAATGACTGGTTGTTTGTGGGCAGATTTGGAGAGACTGCACTAACTATTGATTATGTTTTATTTGGGTTAGTTACAAATATCAAATAGAGTCAGAAATTAAATTACTTTCTAGTGATTCAAGTTCATTTGGAAATGGATACTTTCAAACTCTGAAAATTTGCCTATGGCAGGGAGGTAACCCAGAGTCAAGTGCAGAAGCCCTGGAGACCTCACCAAACCAGCCAGCAGAAAGGCTCCCTCAGAGCATGAGCCACTACTGTTGATCTTGGAAGGAAGCCAGAGAAGGACAGGGCCTCTCGAGTCCAGGCCTAAGAGAATTTTGAGCAGAGGTTGGTTGGAGAAAGGAACAGGTACTATAGAGAAGCCAAGAGAGACCAGAATGAGTGAGAAAGGCAGCCAGCAAAAGGGGTGGCGTATCTCTGCATCCTTGGTAATGAGGGCCTAAGGTGGTAGATGGGGGAGAAGCTAAATGGAAGAAGGTTCAGAAACGGGCTCCTTAGGGACCCTGAGTGAGATGAGGAAGAGGCAAAGGAGTGAGTCCAGAACTTCTCAGAAGAACAGTGTGGAACTCGGGGCAGTGAGTAAGCCCCATGGGATGGGGCCATTGGTCTTCTCGATTGGCAATCCCTTCTAGGGCTCCTCTGAGAGCAAGGCTGCTGGTGACAAGGACATCTATTTTCCGTAGGATCACGTGAGCCCATGATTCCTTAAGATGAAACAAGCACGGGCCTGCCCTCGTGCTAGTCCCCGGTGCAGCACCGCAGCCTCAGCCTCACTCTTGAGCTCTGGAAGTTCCAAATGAGGCTGTGGAATGAGACCTGGATCTCCAAACTTCGGGAAAAGCTGTGCTCTCAGAGTCCAGTTCCTGACTCTGTGTATCTTTCTCCCTGCTCCTGTAGATCACGTGTGCTGTGGGCGTCTCCTCAGCCCGCAGCCCCGCTGCACCCGCGGTCCAGGCCCACGGTGTTGACTGTGTGGGTTTGTGTCTCTCGCAGGTGTCTCCTCTGTGACCTCCCTCATGTCCCTGGCTTGGGTGCTAGCCTCCTATCACAAGCTGCTGCGGGACTCCCGGGACGACAAGAAGAGCATGAGCTACAGAGGGGCTCTCCTGCACCTCTTCTGGCGCCTCTTCACCATCTCATCCCGAGTGATCTCTTTTGCCCTCTTTGCTTCCATCTTCCAGCTCTACTTTGGGATCTTCGTGGTGGTCCACTGGTGCGCCATGGCCTTCTGGATCATCCATGGCGGGACCGACTTCTGCATGTCCAAGTGGGAAGAGATCCTCTTCAACATGGTGGTAGGGATTGTGTACATCTTCTGCTGGTTTAACGTCAAGGAAGGGCGGACTCGATATCGAATGTTTGCGTATTACACGATAGTCTTGACCGAGAATGCTGCCTTGACGTTCCTTTGGTATTTTTACAGAAACCCGGAGACCACTGACTCCTATGCGGTGCCAGCACTGTGTTGTGTCTTTATTAGCTTTGTGGCTGGGATCGCAGTGATGCTCTTATACTATGGTGTGCTGCATCCCATGGGGCCACGAGCTAAGATCTTTGCCAGCTCCTGTTGTGCCGAGCTGCTCTGGGGCATCCCTTTGCCCCCCGATGTTGAGCCCATGGCGCCTCAGACCCCTGGGTACCGGGGGACCCAGGTCACGCCCACCAGAGCTGCACCGGAACAACAGGAGGATCTCACGGCTGACACTTGCTTGCCCGTATTCCAAGTGAGACCCATGGGGCCCCCTACCCCAACGGGGCGTCCTTACCCGGAAGGGCCCCTCATTAAGATTGACATGCCAAGAAAGAGATACCCAGCTTGGGATGCTCATTTTGTAGACAGGAGGCTGAGAAGGACTATTAACATCCTACAGTATGTGACCCCGACCGCAGTAGGCATTCGATATCGAGACGGACCACTCCTCTATGAGTTGCTACAGTATGAGTCTTCACTCTAAGAGCATCTTGACCCAAGTTGAGAAGGGGACCTTAAGTTTGGTTTGCGGTGAACACCGCTTGCAAGAAATATAACCCTCCCTTCCCCCAACACACAGAACCACCACCGCCACCAACATGCCACTACCACCAACACGCCACCACTACAAAAAAAAAAAAATTAATAAGTCACAACCCCTTCAGATAAGCTTTCTTTCCAGTCGCTGTATGTATACAAAGATATTCTCTATGTTTTGTAAGTAAAAACAAAAAGAAAACTTTTTTCTTTTGTTTTTTACACATAAACAGTATTGAAAAAAAATCCCACACTATGGTTCATAGGGTGGAGAGGGAGGCGCTGTCTCCACTCCAAAAGAAAAAAAAAGTTTTATATCTTACACCAAGTATAGATCATTTACAGGATTGGTGCTGATTGAAAGAACAAAACAAAACAAAATAAAATAAAACAAACACAAACAAACAAACAAACAAACAAAAAAACCTTCAACTGCCTTATGCCCTTAGGTGCTGAGTTTCATTAAGTACTGTCATGTTTTCTCATGCAAAACTCTCTGGTGATTTTTTTTTTTCGCCAGGAGAGGGAAAATTAAAGAATCAAATGAAACAATTCTAGAAATGAAACAAAAACCAACCAACAAATCCCATACAAAGCAATGATTCTTCCTATCTGATTATTTGTATTGAAGAGAACAAATTTACCAAAAGCAAAGGCATAGAAGCCCTTCCTTGTTTTCAGTTTCCTTCCTTCCTCTCCTGCCCCTCTTCACAGAGCCTTCCAGGAGCTCAAGGGCTATTTGAAACTCAAATGGCTATCAAAGCTACTTGAAGGTGACGATGTGCCATTTTCGCATTTGCCTAGCAAGAATCGTATTTAATTCCCTATGAAAAGCAAAACAAAACAAAACGCCACTCCAATAATTTGATAAGGACAGGACGTGCTAAAGCAGATCAAAGGAGATCTCCGTATCTGTAATCAAAGAGAATCAGTAATAATAAAACTCAGCATAGTAGCAAAAAGAACATCAATTTAAAGGCACAACACTTAATCGGTGACTGGCAAAAATGATTTGTTCCATCATTTTAAGGCTGTGGATGGTATACATCTATCACACGTGATGTTGTATAAGGCCTCTTCTGTTCCATTTGGTGGGAAGCCTTAAATTGATCTGGAAAGAATTCTTCATTTTTTCATTTGTGCTTTTTTTAAAAAAAAAAAAATAACACAAAGAGGAAAACTAGGAAAAAAATATATATAGAGACACACATATATAAAAAAAAGTCAAATTGTAATAACTGACCCATTTCAAAGACTGTTTGGTGCTTCTGTCTTTCACCATCGTGGTTGGCTGAAAATCAGCTCACCTGGTGCATCTGGGTTGAATGGGAAATTTTGTATGTGTAGTGTGTGTGTGTGTGTGCCCTTAGCACGTGTGTGTCTGTGTGTGTGAGTGTGTGTTCCTGCTGCACGGTCTTGCCAGAAATATGTAAAACCGATATAAGAAGGACTCTGGTTATGGCTTGGTTGAGTGGAGATTGGAGGGCAGGGGCCAGGGAGGGCAGAGGTGGAAGGGGGCCTGCCCGTGAGCCCATTTGTGTAGCGAGACTCACACCAGCAGCAGATTCCGGGTCTTAGAGGCCGTGTGGTTTGGGTGAGAATTTGATTCAAGCATTTATTTTCTCATTGTACCAAGCTGAATTTCTGGAGGTGTCGCAAGTATGTTTAACCATTTAAAAATTTTTGTCTCAAAGCATTGCTCCTTTAAGGAATATTTCTGTTCTAGGGCATTGATTGTTCCAATCCCATTGTATCCCGACTTGGGCACACACACACTCCCCCCCCAAAAAAAAGGAAAAGAAAAAAATCACAAAAAGATATATATATATAAAAAATATATATATACACACACAATATTTTTAAGTAAATACTGTTAGTCTTTGTTGTGTGTAGTTGCGATTTTTTTAAAAATTCCAAATATAACTATTTAGGGTGCAAGACCTCACATCAAACTATTCTTAAGAGAAGTTCAAAAACTGAAGAATTATTTTTTATGTTTGTGGGGTTTCTTTTTAAAAAATTATTATACAGAGAGGCTTCTCCTCCCTACCCCTCCTCCTCCTCCTCCTTTTTTTAAAAGCGTTTCAAATTTCAGTTGGGTATTTTTTTGGATCCCTTTGACTTCTGTGTCCTTCCTAACCTTTGCAGTGCTGTCCTCTTCCCGTCCCTAAGTCGGGGGTCCCCTCGGGCCTGCGGGGAAGGAAGGAGGAGGCGGAGCCCCCCACTCTTAAGCAGGACGGACAGAGCACACCTGGGCTGCGGTGAAAACCAGCCAGGAGGGCGGTCTCTGCCCATCGGAGGGACCAGCCCGTGGGCCACAGGGAGTGATCTGGGCGTGGAGTCTGGTCAGAAGGGCTTTGCCACAGCGCAACTCCTTCCCGGGGTGCTGCGCACGTAGGGCCTGACCCTGAGCTCCGCCGTATTCTGCAGAGCAGGCTGGGGAAGGTGAGGCTGTCAGTGGGGGCGCCCCTCGGGCTGGCTGGGGTCCCACCTCTTGTCTGCCTCAGGTCCAGGGCTTTTTGTGCCTAGAGCTGCGCCGGTGTCCGACCCCTACTCGTTCTGCTCCTTTCCCTGTTCTTCGATTCATTTCCCTTGTGTTCAGCACAGTCGCGGGGCCGGTTGGCCGCCTCCCATTAGTGCGCATGCGCGAGCGCCTGTTTGTGTTTGTGTGAATCTCGCGGAGCGCAGCGCGGATACTGACTCGCCTGGAGCCCTGAGCGCTGGGAAGGCAACTTCCAGCTTAGGGAGGGCCCTCTGGGGACCTGGCCACTGAGAACAAGTGAGATCGCAGAACATTGCAGCACTCCTTTATTTCAGCCTCTTTGGGACAGGGTTCACGGAGCCCCTGGCCCAGGACACACTTTCCCTGGTGGGGCAACCCCCACCCCCGTCACCAGAACCCCTCTGTCATGCCCATATCTTTCCTAATAAAGGAAGCGAAAATAGACATCTGTGAGGGCCACAGGTAAAGACAGGCTTGCTGAGAGACAGGAGAAGAAAGACAAATTAGGAGAGAAGAAGCGAGCCTTGTCTTCTGTCTGTGGTTCGTGGCCTCCAGCAGTCCCCATGTGTCATCAAGGAAATCCTTCCCTGGTCGTCGCAGCGTCACCTCCAGTGGCCATCTCTTCCTGCCGGGACCATCCTCTTCTGCTGGCTGGCCCTGCGGGTCCAGGCGGGCCTCCACACACACCCTCGGTTCTTCCAGCCCCAAGAAAGTCTGTCTTCATACCCACATGCGCGACTTTGGTCTTGAAAACCCAGATCCTTAACGCTTCGTGCCCGGTGAGACATGGTGGCCTTGTCACACCCTGGGCATCTGTATTTAGTCAGCCATTTGCCTGAGTGCCCCCAGGGACTGGCCCATGCTGCCCTAGCCACTTCCCAGGAAAACCCACGATGACTTTTTTTTTTTTTTTAAAGAAATCTCTGGGCCTATTTCTCTCCCAGGACCTCTGATGAAAAATAATCAACTTGTAGTATATAGGTGTTGCAGGAGGTAAGGAAAGCACGGTGGTACCAGTAGGTAGAGAGTGAGATGATCCATCTCCTTTTTGTTCCCTAAAGCCCCCATCGAATGTGCCCACTGACCCCGCATTCATTCCTCTAACAGACATAGAAAATGTGGCTCTTCTTTTCACTCTCACAGATACGGTAGTATCTCCAAAAGACGTCTAATCTTGTTAGCAGCATCTCTCAAGCTTTGCTTCTCCTTGGCTTAAGCAGGTCAGCCTCTTCTTTGGGCCTTCACAAGAAAGGAAGCCTTCATCCCCTCAGATAATGTCAAAGTGATGTCCCCTGAGTGCATTGCCACAAACCTGCGACATCCCCCAAAATGGGAGCATCCTGTCTCTTAAGGCCACAATAGGGACGTTATGAAGGCCTCAGTCCATCAGCTGAGCCCCTGCTGGCCTCGCCTGCCCCAAAGCACCTCATATCCAAACACACTCCTCCCCTCCTATCTCCGGAAGGGTCAACTTGCTCTGTAGTGTCAGGCTTGCTCCAACAAGTTAGGACCAGGGAAACAATGGGGGTGCAGGCTTACCCCAAGCAGGTTGGGGCCAGAATGGAGGAGACCCCATTTCTTTGCATGCACATGCTGCCCCCATGACATGGCCTCTGCTAGGGAAGGTCTCAGCTGCAGCTCTTACCTGGAGCAGCTGTGGGTGGGTCACATCTGAACTCCCTGTGCGGTTCTCCTCTGCCTGAGAGAGGAAGCTGCCTTCTTCCCTTGTGTAGAGCAAAGGGCATCAGACCCTGGAGGAGAAGGCAACAGGGGCCTCTTCTCATGCTCCTGGCTCCCTCAGAGCGGCCAGGCAGGGGATGGCCACCTAGCCTTCATTTGGCACAGATGGTAGTATCTTCTTTGCCAAGGAAAGTGACTCCTTGCTCAAAGTGAGCCCTTTAGAACTAGAATGTGTGGCAACAGCAGCTCTGGATGGCAGCTGAATGGTGGGGAGAGGGGTCTCTTTGCGCACTTATTTGATTTTCTTACCAAGAAGCCAAAATCCATTATTTCTTTGCCAAACTGAAAAATTTTTAAAATAACACTACCAGATTGGGGTGGGATTTAAATTTGCAGAGTAAATTTAAGGAAGCGAGCTTGTTGCAATGAGTTTGTCCTAGATCCACGTGAGCCTCCTGGCAGGGACTAGGAAAGGGGCTTGCCAGTCGCAGGTTACAAACCCGGGAATGTGTTCGAGGACCGCCCCTGAGCATCACAAATCAGCCTGTGCCTGTCCCAATCCCAGAATGCATAAAAGCATAAAAAGGCAACTCTACCCTCTCAGAGACTTTATTTTCTGCACCTCTCAGTGGGGGAAAAGATGATGCTTCATCTGAATTCCTGCAATTCTCACCCATCTGTAGCTATTATTTTAAAGATTTCATCTCTCACTTAAAATGCTGCATCTCACGCTATTGGCCAAATGACAAAAGACGAGGGTGCTGTCGCGAGGTGGCTGCAGCTTTCCCCTTCTGCCTACCCGGTCCTGTCTGCCTTACTCACCTCTCCCTGGCACCATCTGCTTCTGGCTCCCCGTGCCTTTCCTTGCACTGGCTATCAGGACATGGCTGGTATGTTCTGCAGCCAAAGGTCGTGAGTGCTATTACTGACAGCCCCGAGGGCAGCAGACGGACCACCACAGGAGTTCCCCCTGCTCTCGGCCAACACCTGTGTCAAGGGCTAAGAATAGACCACATTGGAAATGAACAGACAGGACCTAATGACACCTGCCCCGGGCTGCCCCATTCCATGCAGAACAACGAACAGGTCCCAGGAGAAGATGCTGCCCTTGCCAATCCCACCCAAATCTCGGGACCCCATCCTTGAAGGAGGTGAAGTAAGTCAGCTCCTCTCTGCTCCTGCCTCCAAGGAGGACTGCTCCTACAAAGACCCAATTTTCCTCTGGTATAGTGCCAATTGGTAACCCAGTAAACATCCCTCATTAAGCAGCCTTTGGCTCACTGTCATGGCGGAAACAGACAATGGCCATCTACTGGATGAGCTCCTCCGGTCTGTTGGTCTATCCTCAACATATTCTCAGGCTAGAGTGGGCTCAGGAGGTTTGTTTTAGCTGAAGACCTCCTTGGGGCTCTTCTTTAGACCCAGAAAGATCAGAAAATGTCACAGGCTGATTCAGGATCCCCACTGTGATCATGGATAACTCACTTCACCTCTTGGTGCCTTGGTTTCTCCATCTGTAAAGTGGAGAGAAAGGAGGCCGACCTCTTCTTTCTCTCCTGCTCAGGGACGCTGCTCAGATCCAGTCGGTGTTGCCTGTAGCACAGCTGTGGAGTAAGGGAAAGTGGTCTTCATTCCTTGGGGAATGGAATCACAGAAGGACAAGGTGTTTTCCAGGTACAGTGGCATCTGGTAGCCCGTAAGATGAGCAGGGAGGACGTCTGAACGGGAAGTCTCGCACACCTGTAGTTCATAGGTACTTCACAGCACTGTGAACCCAGCACAGTGGTACCCCAGTCACCTCACTTGAGCCGGCCACTTGTAATTCTAAAACCCAATCTCCTGATGTTAATTTTTCCTAAGCTATTAGAGAATGTGTGGAAAGATAAATTTGAAAGCTGATATTCCTTGAGCTTTGGGGCAGACAAGAGATGGGGTAAGCGGGGAGTATTTGGAATTGTTTTTAAGGTGGTTGAAAGCTCTTCAGGAAATATCTCTTGCCTTTGCTTTTTCTTATAATCTTGTTCAACCTTGAGGCTCACCTCATCAGACAGACTCACCTTCTCTTTCCCTCTCTGCAGAGTACAGAAAAAAAAATACCTTTGGTTTTTAAACGATCATCCGATCCACAAAGCTGTGGGTCCCCAAGGTGGGTTTTCATCACTCCCTGGTGTGCTTTGAGTGGAACCTGCAGGCAAAGAGTCAAAGACAACAGAGCTGGAGAATATCACTATTTTTTTTTTCTAAATCAGGGCATTTTTCTTTCTCATAATTTGAATTGGAAAAGTGAAGTTGAATTTATTTTTCTTTCCCTTTTTTTTTTCCTTTTACTATGGTTTGACTGTTAATAATTCTACTACTAAAATATACTTTGGGCAAGGAAACAGAACCATCCTAAGAACCTCCATGTTCTTCTTAGGACCTAACCCAGAGTAGGGCAGGTGGGAGCACAGGAGGCACACTCGCAGCCCAGGAGTGCCAGCGGTGACTCTAATTTCTTTATTGGCTCTGAGAACTTTCTTGGGGAGGAAAATTCTAGAAACTTCAATTGTTCTGAATTAGTCAACCTGATGCTGGCCCTTTTCTTAG